AATTACGATAAAACAGTCAGATATACATCGGGCAGGATTTAACGGCTGCAAAACTGCCTTGCAATGAACAGGGTCTGCAGCCTTTGACTGATGACGAACTGGCTGTGTAAGCTTTAATTAGCCAGCGACAAGGCAGCATTATAAGAGCTGTTTTACTAGTGCAAGGTAAATACTCGCTCTCCTGCTTCCTCCATCCCTGAAATTTATTACGCACTTGGATGTGGCCACACCTGAAAGGCTGGGGGAGTGAGGAAGAGGCTTTTGCAACTTGACCCCTCAGGAGGAATAACTGCAGCTAAGCCTTTTACGCTGACACATTTTTCTGAAATATTTATGCGCTATCATCCGTTGTTGTTTACCTCATGGTCTCCTCTCCTTGCTCACCCCGAGCCGCCTCATCAGACAGCCTCCACTATTTAGGAAGCGCAGAGAAAAAGTTGGGAGTCTGAAATTAGAGAAAAACCTTTTTGGTATGCACTAAAGCTTCCACTAAGAGAGCTGCGGAGAATTAATTGGGCAGGCAGAAAGGGCTGGGAGCGGAGACCAGCGGGTGCCCCAGCAATGTCACGCAAGCCTGTGAAGGGCAGAGTTCCCCTCGCCTCGGCAGGCCGGACGGTTTTAGGTGGGAACCGCCGAGTGGTCTGGTCGGTTGTTTCACCCAGCCCATGCTGGATGCTTTCCCCTTGCCTGCTTGCAGAAAGGGCAGCCGCAGCCTCGGCAGCAGCTACAGCAGCCGCCCACAGCAGGGACAAAGGGAAAAGCCTCAGAGCAGGCAGCAGAAAGTAGGTTAGCCTGAAAGATGTGAGTGGAAACAGTGCTCTTGTAGACAGCTTTCTTATAGACTTCTGTGTATTCACTTTGTAGTGGCTCAGAAGCAGATGACATTCCTTTGCATCATTTTCAGCGAGGAGGGAGCTGAACTCCCTCCCTTCATGCTCTCCCCTCTGACCTGTCTAATTACCGTAGGAGAAGGGGAGCCCAAAGAAAGTCAATATGGAAAAAAAACCTGTTGGATCCTGGTATCGGTCAAACTGCTGGTGGAAGGGTACAACCTCCCTGAGGTCACAGATTTAGCTGAGAACAGCAGATTTGGCCTTTTCAACAATTTTGCAAGACGAGGTGCTTTTGCTGTGGGATTTTTGGTTTGCTTTGGCCAGTTGTTGTGGGTTTTTTACTGTGTCTGTATCCAGGCCGCCTGAAGATAACCATGGTTTTGCCAGTGATTTTAGTGTAATAGGAATTTGATCTTGAAATACGCTGAGTTCACAGGCCATATAAACTATAATATTTTGTACATCTGCTCTAAATCCAGACAGCCAGAGAGCTGACGGTACATTTCCCACCGCAAACAGACCTACTAAAAAGCATGAAATAGATCTTGATTTATAGGAGAGCCACCATCGCTGATTGTGTGTCTTACCTTAGATGGGGAATGGAAGGAGAATCGTGATCAAACACACTTTATTGACTTTATTCCTTCCTTAAAAAACAGGCAAACTACTGAAAATGTGCACAGTAGCCATTTTACAAAATATGAAAGCAAGCACTAAATTACAATCCTCAAATCACCAATTCAGAGCCCTCAGAAATTTTTTTTTTCCCATTTCTTCAACTATAATTTCCGGACTGGAGCTCTAGCCATTAATAGCAGCTACATCATTACACTGCCGTGACACTTCAGCAGCACCCTCATCCATTTCAGTCATTGATCCACTAATGTGCGCAGGATGAAAAAGGAAAAGGTCCCGCTCGTTCATCCTCCCCCTCCTTTCTCCTCCTCTCACCAGGTGGCAACCACTCACCCTTTGCTTTAAATCCCTATCAGATTTCACATGCTCAGTGTTAATTGTCTCAGTACAAGGACTGACCCCAAACAGCGAAACTAAAATTAAAGTAACAGGGCCATAGAAGCGGGTGAAATGCTACAGAAGCGAATGGATCTGCAGCTGCTTGCCTTGGCCCTCAGTCTGCTGACAGCACTGGAAACGACAAGTTAGAGCTGGAGCCTTAAGGCACGCTTGTTGGCATTGGATTCTTCCCGGAACGTGAAGCCAAACCAGGAAAAGAGTAGGAGAAAGGCTAAAGAAATTAGGCAGTAAGATCAAAGGTACAGCAACGTACTGCTGGAGAAATGGTACTTTAAGTAGCATCAGCTGCACAAGTAATTCTGTAATGCCAGTTGCATATGGAGGAAAAAAATATCTTTCCTATAGACATCCATAGGTAATCCATATTGCAACTCTGCGTTTAGGTGATTTTCTGAGTTACAGAGGTATTGAGCTGAAAGATACATTGCTTATGGTTGTAGCTTGTTGGGGTCTTCTAATCCAGTAGCCTGATTTTTTTAAATTTATATATTTTCAAATCTATCCATCTAACCTATAGGCACATTCTTGCTTTCCCTTTTCACTCTTCGCCTGGTACATCTGATCTTTTGTTATGCTTTTCCTCATCTTTATATTGCTCAATTTGGGGATCAAAGGATAAAGGAAATAAAAATCCTGTTAGTTTTCAAAGGTCCACACAGCAGTAGATAATTGGTTTCCAATCAAGCCCAGACTGTCTTTGATCTCCAAAGCCCTTGCAAAGAACATTTTGCTAAGACACAAGCATATGTGTTCGGTAGCACTACCAGGAGATCTAATTTTGAAAGTCTGCAATTACCTGTGCAGTGGCACTTAGAAAGATGAGAGGGACTGATAACAAAGCTGTGTTTTTATACCATCTTCCATTAAACTTGCATTAATGAGACATAACTACACTTTTCTGAAGAGATACTTTCAGTAATATTTCTCTCATGCTATAGTAACAGAGGTGATGGGTCGTACAGCAGGGTCAGGGACAGAAACCAGCTCCTTCCAGCTCCCCAGTCCAGCCATGCAACCATCCTTCCTTGCTGGAGATTGCTGCCCTTTCCCATTCTTCATGAAGCCAAGCAGAAATTTGCTGCGCATTCCCACCCTGGTTCATGTTTCCACCTCCAGACAGCAGTTTATAACCTTCGGCTGTGCTGGTTGAACCTTTTGGGCTGTGTTGCAAAGATCAGGGAAGTGTTCTTGTTTATGTACGTCTTTCAACAAGAACAAAACATGGTGCCTGGCAGCTAAGGATACAAACTTTTTAAAACCAGCTTTGCCACCAGAAGAACCGTAATGTGAAACTATACCCTTGTTCATCTTTGCAAGCAGTTAATCTATCCTGTCACTTTGAACCTTAATGCCCTTCATTTTACCTTCTCTTATTCACTAAATGTCCTCTTCTCTCTCTACCCACGCTTAAACCCACCGAAACACGTGGGTGGGTGTCAGTCTCTTCTCCCAAGTAAGAAGCGATGGGACAAGAGGAAACGGCCTCCAGTTGCACCAGGGGAGGTTTAGATTGAATATTAGGAAAAATTTCTTCACTGAAAGGGTTGTCAGGCATTGGAACAGGCTGCTCAGGGAAGTGGTGGTGTCACCATCCCTGGAGGTATTTGAAAGACATGTAGATGTGGTGCTCAGGGACGTGTTTTAGTGGTGGGCTTGGCAGTATTAGGCTTATGGTTGGACTCGATGATCTTAAAGGTCTTTTCCAACCTAAATGATTTTATAATTCTATACAAAAAAGCAAAGTGTGTTCTTGCTAGAAAAACATGAGATACTCTGGGTGAAATGACTGATGTTGGGTTTGTAGGAATCTCTCTTTTCCTTTCTTTTTCTTTTTCTTTTCCTTTTTGTGTTCCTTTTCCTCCTCCTTTTCCTTCTTTTTCTTTTTCTTCTTTTTTGTCTTTCTTTTTTTCCTTTTCCTTTTCCTTCTCCTTTCTTACTCTTCATGCCAGGGCTGGCCAGAAACAACAGATTATTTTTTTTTCATGTATCAAGGCAGAATTATTTTGTGCAATCCAGAGAGGCAGAGCGCATGAGACACACAGGTATATACTTATGTATGCATACCAAAATCTGTAACTGACTCTGCTTCTTTAATAAACAGTATACATTCATTTAGTGTAAAATAGGACTCCTGTCAAGCTCCTACCCTACAGCAACTACCAATTGCACTGTCAAAATCACTCTCTGTGGTTCTGAATAGGTTTCTTAATGAAAGAGCAACATTAGCTCTTTAGAACATTTTGTCCCTGAAGGATGCAGCAGCAACAGCCGCTGAATGATTTCTGGCTCAGACATGCTTATAAATGGTAGGAAACATAATGGTTTAAAACATGAGTATCAGCTCCCTGGAAATGCTTTGTAACAGTGATTCAGGGAACCAAGAGACAAATGGATACTAAGAGTGGTACCCACTGATGAGCGCTTTGTTTCCCACATGCACACTGACCCCCTTAAGAATAATCATGGTGTGGGTATGTTGCCACTGAAACAATGTAATAACCGGGGAATCAAATTATTTGGGACCCAATCCAAAGAAAAATATGTTCTGGTAAAATGAAATTTTAATGTCTGCTGGTTGCTGGATTAAATAATGATGGGCATGCAAATGAAATTCTGTGTTTCTATTTTTGCAGTCTGGTCATACTGACTGTCATAGTAGTCATTTTTTATTCTGGTTAAACCTGGAGGCAGTAGCAGAGTAGAATTTGACTTGAGTGAGATGTCTAGATTCAAAGCAAAGAAAAAGAGCTTTTGTTATAAAATGCTTGGACTCAGGTGTTCTTGTTTCTTTAATAGGGATGATGTGGCTGCACTTGGCTAAAGTCTCCAAATTGGGGCTTCGGCACCATTTAAATATTGAAGAATGGTATTTACCAACAGCCTCATGCATAACCCCAGTCTCGGTTCTAGACAGATTTCAAATCAAATGTCACTGTTCTTATGCAGGAAAAACCCGCAAGCAGCTTTGCCACAGCGTGGAGGGTATCAGGATGAAAACCAATAACAAAATAGATGAAATTTTTCATCAGAAGATAGAAGTATCTGTCCCTGCTTTGTCAGAATCTTCTCCCTGGCAGCAGGAGACTGAAGTTTGCCTGGTGTGTTTGATCCTCTTACTTGCCTTTTTTTTTTTTTTGTAGTTCTAAAATGTATTTGTTACTGTTATGCCCCCAAATTTGTTTATAGGCAAAGAGGAAACACACCCTATATATGAAGCCAAGAATTTATTATAAGTATAGTTGAAATCCTTGCAGTCTGTTCCAAGAGTCACTATCAGCCCAGATTTAGTTATTACAGAAAGCAGCAGCTTTTTCTAGGCACAAAAAATTTCAGTGCTAATAATAAACCAGTTAAAATTGCTCTTCCTATGTTCCGCCCCATTTCGTGACGCTATGGCCCCCTTCCCCTGCTCCTCGGGGCACCATGGTCGGTGCTGTCATTGGGGGGGGGGAGGCTGCTACAGCAGGTCATCAGCATCTGGAGTCTTCGCCAGGAGGACTATCATGTTCATGTTGGTAGTTTTGTCTCCGAGATCCACTTGGGTTCATTTTAACACGTTTGCTAACCTGTTTTACACTTTTCCTCTTCCTCCCATTGTTCTGCAGCTCCACATCACATCTGAATTTGCTATGTAGAGCAGCTTTTAAGTATGCTAGACGATATTTCTTGGCTGTCTTTGTTAAACCTAAAACCAGTTTTGTCCAGCTACAGGTCTGCGTTTCTTTAACTGACCATGGGCGAGTTCTTCACTGTGGGGTCTCCAGTGCGAAACCCGTGCCCCATCTCTTTTCGCCCCACGCCAGTATTCCTCTGCTCTAACGCTCTCAAGTCCTCAGCCATCGTACCAGCCCCATGTTTCTCTATACTGCATTATGTTGTTAGAGTGTAGAACTGCAGCGGTACCACTGCAATGATAAGCGAAGTAAAAGAATTTAGCTGTAGCCACCTGGTCAGAAGAAAAACTGCTGTTACAGCTAAATCAAATTAAAACAAAGCTGCAGGCAGGCCAATAAAAGTTCAGACAAAGCAAGCGTGGTGCGCCTCAGCCCTGAGGCCTTGCAAACTCAGCACAAATCCTGTGGCCTTTAACTAGCAATGGCACTACGATGTAACCGGTTTACACGGCTGCATTATTATGCTATTCTTAAGTTTCTCATTTGCTTCCCATCCAACTCAGACACTGCTAATACCCAGCTTCATCACCCAAGGGAGGGAGCTGCAGACAGGGGATCAGCCCAACATCAGGAGTTTGCTGTTCACCTGCCTTAATGAAAAACAACTCATTAAATACTGCATGCTGGATTGGTGCCTCTTTGGCTGTGTTTATAAAATTTCATGGAGCCTCTGGAATAAATGGTACTGAATTAGTATAAAGCTATAAATAGGTTAATCAGGTTGAATATTCAGCTGCTAAAATAGTTGAGTTACACAATTATACTGACCTTGGCTCATGATGGTGCAAGTTTTCTATATTGAATTCCAGTTTCAACCTGGAGAAGATCTTTATCTGGCATCTGGGTCAGCTTGCTCTTGAAGCCCATCTTTTTCCCCTGAAGTAACAAACAACGGGGCCAATGCTGGAGCAATTTCTTAGGGGATTCTGATAATTGTTCATACAGCTGCTGAGCAAAAAAAGTTTCTGTAGAAAACTGAGTCAAGACTAAGAAGTCAAGCCCCTTCCACTAAACAGTTTAATACCTGAAGAGCTGAAAAGATGAATTGCACCTATATAGCTTGTACTTTAAAAAGTTAAATGAAGTCTGTGTATGTAATTCCTCTGTGACAGCTTCCTCTATTAATAGACTAAATCATCCAGCTCTCACATGGAGAAAAAAACATATTTGTCACTCAAACCCACAAACCCAATAAAATTGCTCAAATTACTCAGCATCACCTCAGTGTGTGGGCAGTAAGCAAACTGCTTAAAAATAACTAAACAATTAGCAGAACAATGCACAGTGATCGGGGTAAAAGTAGTATGTTCCTCGAAATGACACCAACCGCTGCATATGCTGGCTAGAATTATTAGCATCACTTTTTTACAGTTCCCACACCCTTGCTTCTTTCTGAAATAAAATGAAATAAACAAATAATGGTTTACAGGGTAAGTATATATACCATAAGCCCAAACTATCCATCATAATGTACTTCCACTTTCTACCCCAGAGGTAAAAGGCAAAAACTTTTCCTGTTATTCATGTTTCTCTTGGACAAAACCAGCCAGAACGCTCCTTGTCAGCATCTCACTTGAGAGACATAAAGTGGAGAGAGTGGTTTTGAAGCTGTGGTACTGTCCCACTGGTTGAACAGATCACATTTAATCATATCAAGGCATTTATCTTTTCACTATTCTGTTTGGTTGATATTTAGAAACAGAAAGGCAACACTATTTTAGAAATTTGGCAATTAGAATCATACTAGTAGATCAAACTGACATTTGGAATTAATTACAAAAGGGGAAAAAAGGGTTTATGCTCACTCTTGATCTTTTAGAACATAAACCTAAGGTTTGATAAATCTAGTTTCCTGCATATTTGCCATCTTGAAAACATCAAGGTTTACTGTGATTTGTTGGTTGATATTAAACCAACTCCTTATTTAATGATCCAAGCTGAGATCATGGCTCCAGAGAAGCAGACATTTAATATATATAGCATGAAACTGCTCGCACAGTTCTGATGCATGTTTTACTCAGTATTACTATTACTTTTTCTAAGTTTCAGCAAAAAGTCAGGGAACAGCAGAACTCTAAGCTGTTAATGTAAGGTCTTATTTACCAACAGCAAAGCTGTCTCTGGCATATGGCTATGAGAGGGTAATACTTCAGTTATCACTGGCTTAAATGTGTATCTTAACATGAGCCTGACAAGTTTTTGCCTATGTAAGCAAGGCCAAGCGATTTGGGTGACTGAATTTTGATCCCAAATTCTTCAGGCTTCAGTTCCTTAGGAATTTGTGTTTGATTATTTGAAGAAAGAAGCACCATCAAAACAACAAAATTTTGAGCAACCAGATATATGAAATATATGAAGTATACATTTCATACATATAGGAAAAATGATTCTCCTGTCCTTGGCTTATGCTTTACTTCTGTGGTAATGCTGTAAGATCCCCTCTAAGGGTTACAAACTATTGCACTTCCCTTGGTCCGAGACACCAGTTGTCCCACACCTGCCTGAGCAGATGCTGGTCCACGGTCCCTGCGCTGAGCTGGTATCAAACACGGCTGTTGGCGAGTTCAGAACTGTTGCCAGGTCAGTACTTGTGCAGATGTGTTCTTTAAATCACTCCTTTAATGTCTGTCTTTTAAACATGACCAAGCTATGCAGTTTTCTTCAGGCATCGTAGGAAACTCGTGAACCCAATTTTTTCTTCTCTGATAATGCTCACTCCTGTTTTCCTTCTGAAAAACTTAAAACATTATCAGAAATGCCAAAATGAGTTTGCAAAGCAGGGGGTGAAGACTTTGCATCATTTCTACTGATGGCAAAATTCCCACTGATTTCAGGGTGCTGAGGTTTTCCTTCTTGATCCCCCCAGCCACGTTTGCTATGTAGACAGGATTTCCCTTGCAGATCCTGCAGCTGGACCTGTGTGGACAGAAGCAGCTCTGCTTTTGTCTGTATTGTCCTTAACACTCCCTGCCTGCTGAACTGCACAAACTGCTGACTGCAGAATCCCCAAGGTGAAGGACAAGACGAAAAACATTTTCAGGGATTTGAAAGGGAGGAATTAACAAGGCAGGAGAACGCGAGTCTCAAAAGGCAGGATAAACAATACAAAGATTTCTTTCCTTTATAGGAAGCTGAAAGGAAAATTGTCTGGAAATATGCAGAGCGTTGATGGACATTCTGCTAACAGTAAAAACAGCAGTCTCTGAAAACCTTAGGAAATAAAAATTCATGACCCAAATTAAGAAATACGAACTTGACAGGTGCTTCCTGTGGATGCGGAGATGAGGGAAGTAGAAGTGGGTTTCTCAAGTAAAGGATAATGATGATTCAGAGAACAGGTAATTTGTTTCTTCTCTCCAAGGCAGCTCAGCATGGGGGGATCCCGGCCCCGCTAATCAAGCTGTACCGCCTGCTGCGTGTAATGGGTGCCGCTTCTGCAAAGAGGTTATTATGTAAGCGAGTCGCATTTTGGAAGGCTGAAAATTGCTTTTCTCAGATTGCAGCAACTTTCCTCATTTACAGGAGATGCTCAAGTGGATCAGTCCCCCTCACTGCTTTCTAGCAGAACAAATTCAAGTTATTCAGGAACCGTTAATTAGCTGGGAGTCCGAGAATGTAAATGCATGTTTACTTCATCTCCTCACCAACACAGGCTGTTTCCTCTTGAAAGATTCAATGTTTTGTCCAGTCTGGTGTTGAAAGTGTGAGGTTACAGGCTCCTTCCACTTCTGGTCTAGCAGCATTCACTGCCAGGAAGTTTTCATTGACAATGAGTATCAATTTTCCTCAATGACATTACATCATGCTTAATTGCATTCTGATAAATTAAGCTCCACAATTCCTTCAATCTTGGCTTAAGGCTTTCAAATCTTTTTACTGGGAAGTAATGTTCCTCTAACCCTAAGCCATAATTTAACTATGCTAAACGTAGTTACCTCTGTTGCCCTCCTCTCCTAAATCAGTTTAGTATCTTTCGCTGTTTTCTGCAGAACTTCCTGTAGTCTTGTTATATGTTACTACTCAGCATGACTTATATTTGCAGCTGCTTCACCTCTCCAAACTGGAAACGGGATACTATACACCTTGAAACACAATGCAAATGTCTCATTTCTGCTGTCCTCAGTGCAAATTACTGAAGCAGGTTTATACTTACCATCTAGGGCGCCCTGTGGAGGATACCCTCCCTCTTTTCAACAGTTGTTATTTCAGAGAACTGATCACCTTGGAATATAACAAGGTTCACCTTTTTTGAAAATGAAGGTGCTTAAGAAGAATATGCTTTTCCTCATGTTCCTACAGCCTACCACTGTAACTGGGTCCTTTCTTTCACGTGTTTCCATATTTTTCAGTACGTAAAATGTTTTACCAGAGGGAGGGGACACCACCCAAACCCCTAATGAATTATGATGCTGTAGAGCAGAAAGGCAAAGCCAGCAAGATGCATCTACTTCATTAAAGTTACAAGACACTGACAAAGTTGTCAGTTCGACAGCACTATTCTAGCAGATTTTATACCAGCAGCAGCATTTATTGTAATAACCAGAAGGAATTTAATGAAACATAGTTCAGAATATATATACCATCCTAGCAAGGGCAATTTAAATAGCCTGGTGAGATACCACGTTCCAAGATGCAGCTTTTTATCCTCACAGATCTGACTCCAAAGGCAATGCCAGCAACCGGTCTGAACCTGTAAAATTTAACTTTTCACACTTTCTTTTTTGGCATTCCCAAGAAGCTTATGACACCTGAAAACTTTAATCCACCATATGCTTCACTTGATTCCTAAATTGCTCTTCAGTTCTCTTTCTCATCTTTCAAAGGGAACCTTGGCTGATAAAGGATGCACCAGGAACATATGGGTTTAGGCCAAAAGGGCTCACACAAGTTGTGACAGATTCACTTCTCTGAGCATTAATCCACGTTAATCCAATTGGATCACATACCAAACTAGCAAAATCCCTGAGACTTTGACAGCACCAGTTCTGTTAATATTTAAAGGTTAACAAATTCAGTAGATCCTGCGCTACTTGTATCTACATTGAGATCTTCGACTGAGAAGCTGTAAAATGAGTTAATGAATATGAATTAAGAGACCACACACTGATAATACTCTGGTTTTTTTCCAATAGGATGTAGAGCCCCAAAATCTTGCATCAGAATGCAAGTGCCATAAGATTATCATGCTTCAATAATCCAGTCATTTCAAGGATATCAAAGTAAGAGAAAGATACAAGAAGATATAAAATGTGCAATTTTGATACAACTTCCTCACTGCTTGAAGAAGCAAAGTGTCCCTAAATCTCTAAATGCCTCATGCAGGCACAGCAAATAAATGATCTAGGGTGGGAGATGACAATCTCTGAGACCCAAGAGGATGGGGGAAAGATGCTGAGAGCTGTAAAAAAAGCTGTCAAGTGTATCATCTTGCTGTAGCGCTCTTCTTGTTAAAGATGCAAGAGCACTTGCAGCTGTTAAATACTGAGAAGGAGAAACAGCTTAACATCCAAGTGTAGTCCTCAGAGGGGATCTTACAGAGCAAAGAGATTTTTAAAAAGCAGATGAAAACTCTAAGGACACCAAAACTAGATGAGATACTAAGAAAAAATACCCAACAAATACAATTCTAAAATATATAAAAAAAATATATCTAAACCTATGTATAAAAGCCTTCCTCAAAGGCCGTGAAGGAAGAAATGATGCTTACTCACGTACATGACATTTGTATCCAATTCAATAAACTAATGTTGTGACTGACGCTCTCTGCACTCAAATGCAATAGAAAACCAAGGTCTTGACCACCTGCAGTCTTGAAAGATATTAGAGCTCTCAGGAAGAGCAGACGTTAATCTGTGTTCAGGATGACTCCATCCTGGCCATTTCCCTTAGCTTCCAATTTTCATGGGCAAGAGTATGCTGATTCACTCCGTGCCCTCCACAGTACAGTATGGTACAGTACATACAGGAAACAGGTTTATCCCAGAAGATGCTGCAGTGACAGACTCAAAATAAATGAAAGGACTTCAGGATGTAATAAAAATAAATGAAAGGACTTCAGGATCAAAAGCATGATGTAAAACGTTAAAAAATTTTCTGTCTCAAGGCTATCCATACAAAACCTGTAATGGATTCTGTAATAATAGAAGCAGTTGCTTCGATGAAATTAATTTATTTTGAGAATATCCCTTTTAATCCTCCATGCATTTTTTAGCACAAAAAGTTGGAATTTATCACAACCTCCTTCATAAAACTTAATATTGTACGTCTGGTAATGTGGCTGTTTCAACAATTCCTCACTGGAAATCCCACACTTGCGAAACCTTGGCAAGACTGTCAGTAAGTGACCTACACAAAGTTTAATAGAAAAATTTTACTGAATATCCTCTGTTTAATGTAAACAAGGCAGGAGGCAAAACAAGGAGTATATATTTCATATAGTTACACTATTTTACAGGGCACAGAAAGCACTGAGGATCATGGTTTGAAAACCCTATATGATATGCAGTATCAGACATGGATTTTCCATGTAGCCCCAAGTCTACTACATAATCCTTCGATTTTACCTAGCACTTCGGTTTAGTATTTCTTTTAGCAAGACAAATAGCAACAATAAAATGTCATCTGTGAAATTACACAGCAGGTTATGGTAGAAATTACCATGCATTTATGAAGCCATTCCATGATTACTTGTGCCCTGTAAAATCAAGTGTGACAATCTTTACACTAATAGTAGTGTAAGCAAGCTCGGGATTCTGGTCCTTATATATATATATGTATATATATACATAGGCGATGTACAACCAGACTCAAGCTGTGTATCAAGTCACAGCTTTTATATTGCACAGACAAATACATAGTAAGAACATTACACAGACAGGATCTGAATACCAGGAATATTACAGTCATATGAGAAACTAAGGACAAACTTGTTCTACCAGAGCTAGCACATGGCTTATTACAAAATTTTCTATATCGGAATCTAAATCAAATACATACTATAAATGGAAACAAAGTAAAAAATGTGTCTATTTACACACATGTGCATCAGGATTAATATGTGGTTTGGATCTGCTTTTTGAAATAAAAAATTACTCTAGTATTACCTCTCAAGTATTTCACTCTAATACTAGTGGCCGTATTTTCTAAGGTGATAAGCATTTGCATTTCCCACTGACATGTGGAGGATCTGCATATGCTGTGAACTTCAGGCCATATATTTTCTCAGGTGTCCATCTCTGGGTAATAAATAACCACATACAAACACACGCACACAGAAACAAAATGGGCACCTCAATGACATGCATAGATCGGAAAGGTGAAAACATGGACCTGAACTAACTTCTAACCTTTTTTTTTAAAAAAAAGTGCATGAAAAATATCACCAAAAAATAATTGAGTTCCATCTCTTAAGGAAGATTAAATCACTTTTACAAAAATAAAGGTCATTGTCATCATGTACTGTAATTAAGGGTTTGTAGGCAGCACTCACAAAAGCAGTTTAGGCTAAAGCAACTTCAAGGATTGCTTCACTTCTATCAGGATGGATCCATGTCTTACAAATTTAACAACTAAATAACATTTGGTTTGCAAGAACATCACCTATGTTGCTGGAGACCGAACAATTAGATCCTGAATTTAAGAGTGCTTATAGTTATATCTACTTATTTTCTTCATGGACAAGCTTGAAAGATTTGTGTTTGCAGCTCGGTAGACTGTTTTGCATTAAAATCCAACAGAGGTTGCAGCAGTCCTTCCAGAAGCTGACTGATACAAGTCCTTACAGTGTAATGAGCTCAGGTATCAGTGAAAACAACAACAACAACAACAACAAAAGAGGTGATGTTAATGCTTTCATTTGAGATCAATCATCTCTTGAATGGCTTTATAAATTGTATTTCTTGGAATGCTCTTGCAAGTTTTGTTTAACATTTCTCTCACTTTCATTTATAGTAGTATTATCACTTCCGGTTTCCACTGAAATTGGGACATTAGAAGTATTCTGGAACATACACTTTAAAAAAAATAAATAATGAAAATAGAAGATTTGAGGAGAAAGTAATTAAGCTCAAGCGAAACCAACAAAGACCCAAATGCAGTAAAGCATCAGCATTTGCGCTCAACAGCTTAACTTTGTTCATGTAAAAGACTGTTGTTTAGGAATAAAATTCTTGAAATTAAGCTTATGTTTAACTGCTTTGCTGAATTGGGACCTTATTTATAACAAATGTATGTATTAAACATTGCTCTGCATAGACGTTTACATGTTCTAAACTATGTGTCAGGTATGTTACATTAACGAAGCTTCTAATATGGACTGACTGCAATACATATCACTAAAAATTATTTGCTACTTTCAGGGTATGTTTCTAAAGTACAAAAGTGAAAAGTGTCATTTTTTTAAACTTTATCCTGCTATGCCACTTTGACCTGAAAACACTTTGGGCCTAAATTCAGAAAAAAAAAGGTGAGGAAGTAAAATACACTTCTGTTTGCCAGATAAATGCAGCGCTTTGCACAAAAGCCTCCCAGTATATGGAGCCAATGAATACAGGTTTTTACCTGCCAAAATGTTTCCCCAGTTCCAGAACTGCTCTCTCCAGCTGAACCTGTACTGGAAGCTTTTACAGCAGGACCTTCCTCACTGTTGTGACAAGAATAAATTTAGTCCATTAACTGTGACACTGTTCTAATTAACCTGCTAACTTAAAAGGCCTCTCAACATCCAGGTTGCATAAATATTAAAAAACAAGACCTCAAAGGCATGGATTCAGAGCATAATCTGATTCTAAGTACAGTTACGTAAATCCAGAAAAATTCTAGTGACCAAGTAAATTAGTCCATATTTGTGTACGAGCAATCTCATCTGAAATGGGCATTAGCTGTGCAAATAGGATAGTAGGAAAGACAAACAAAGAAATACAATGTAAACACAAGGAGCTAAACTCTACCTTGCCTGCCTAGGCTATTATGTTCATAGGAGGGGAAAGAGGTACTACACACCTGTGTGGAGAGCAGGACAGGTCTCTCATCCAAGTCACTCAACTCAGTGTGACCTGAACGTTAAAGCACAGCCACCTGAACCTGCCAGTGCATATGTGGCAGTGAGCAGCAGGAACTGTCTCAAAGTGCAGGCTGCCATCGCGCTAGAGAAATAGAAGCAAAGCATGCTGAAGTCTGAATGGCCCTCTGCTTGCAATGCAAATGCCTGCCCTGGCTGATAGTATTCATATTGAAAAAAGATGCACTGAGACACTTCTGCATCCCAGTACTAAGAAAAGCAGGCGTACATTTTGGTCCTATATATGGTATCAACACTTTAACTGAATTGGCATCAGTCAATCTTTTGCTGGCCACTACTGCTATGGTTAGATAAGCAATTAAAAAAACATTTCTAAAAATGACAGAATGTTTATGCTGCCAATTTTCAAGGCACAAAAGATTCTTAAACCAATTCAGGCTAAATTCCAATTTAAAAGAAATTAAAAATACTGTTTCAGCAACAACTACTAATGACCTATAATTAACTTCCCTGTAAAGGTGACATGAGTCAAGCAACTAGAGTTCACATGCAAAAACCTAAAGCAAATCTAGTTACGCAGATGACCTGAAGAGCAATCACTTGGAATGACAGAGACAAACATGCTAAAAACATGTACACTTCAGATATACTTGTTATGGATGTGATGCTGAATCAGGATTGATTCCATTAGTATTGATTTTATACTGATGTATCTCTTGGAGTAATCCATTGGGGAATCAAGCTCAGAGTTGTCTTTAAGATTCACCAAAACAAAAATGATCCCTCATTAATATATCCCACTGTATATGGATTAGTGGATTTTTTTAAGCTCTTCATTCTTAATAATATACATTGCAACTATAGCTGTGATTTCCTTTCATATATCCAACTGAAAAGAAAAAGAATTATGACATGAAAATGTTATAAAATTAATTTGCTTTTTAAAAGTAGTATGGTCAAAAAAAGCAAATTGGCGTATGCGAGCCCCAGAACATACAAAAGACCCAACTCTCTAAACATTGTCATTATAACAGAATAACCAAGGTCTGATGTCTGTGGCTCTTCATGCAGCTTTTGCAGCTCTTCACACAGTGGCTAGAAATGCTCTGTATTGGTTTCTCCCCAAATGCCTTCAATCATATTCTAGGTCCATCTGAATCCCTCTTTCTTGCAATGTCAACTTCTGGTGAAAGTAACTTGTCTTCCAATTCTGCCAAATGTCAACTGACACTTTGCCAGGAGGCACCACCTCTTCTTATCTCAGTGTTGTCAATAGCCTTTTCGACTGAAACAAGCTAGGTGGTTTTACAGCCTGGCTACTCATCAAGGCTGCTTATGGTGTAGATGAGGCATGATACTTCACAAATGCAATTGCTGCCAGCTCTTTGCAGAATTCTTCCAGCACAATCACGCCCTCTAGTAACGTCATGTGGTCAATGCTGAGAAAGAAAAAAAAGCAGCAGGGAATCAGGACTGGCAGGCACAAAAAGCAGCCATGGGTCTTGGAGAATATGCAATATATTTACTCACATGGGCCCTTCCGGCTCCAAGCCCAGCAGGCGTTTTCTGACCAGCAGAAGTTTGGGAGTGAAATCTGGGATGCGTTGGATTCTAACCATGAGGTCCCCAACGACCTGTAAAGCACAATGCCATCAACACAAAAAACTAATACCTTTGCAGAGTGCCTGGCAGCAAGCTTAAATGACAGCCTTCAGTGCCCTGGATGCAGACCCACTTCAGCATCCTCACAGGCTCACAAAACAACATGCAGAGTAGCTGCTCTGCCCCAAAAAAGGGTGAGTGGGCGGAGAAAGTAGAGATACAAAAGGACAGGAACTCTTGAGCCTTACTAGCTGTTGCCATAAATAGTATTACTTATTTTAATTATGCCAACGATTAATTTGTCTTAGTAAATGTTGATGCAGGCAATTGACCATTAAATTCCTGGGTTTAGGGAAAGCACAAGGGGAGAGAGTGAAGATTATATTTTGAAATGGGAAGGGCTTCTGGGAAAAAGGGAGCTAAGCCCTCCGTTAGTACTGGGCAAGCATCATTAATAGGCTCCTGACCAGCTTAATAACAGCTGGTGCGTGGGGTAGGCTAGGGATCTCTGACTGAGAAGACTGCAGTGTGACAGGCACCCAGCCAGCACTTCTAGGATGCAGGTCTGGCAGGAAGAGATGGAACCAGAGAGGGAAAGAAAGAGGACTTTCGATAAATCCAGGACTTCATTGTCAAGAACAGCCTTCATCAGAAAAAAAAGAGGATAAGCAGAGATATTATTGCAGGCACAGGATATTCTGGAGTGTCCTTTGCTTGTGTGTGAATCAAAGCCATCTCTTTCCCATTCAGGTGCAAACCTGTACTCTGCCTGTTCTTACAGCACTACCCGATGTTGCCTGCAAGTGACAATGTGACCTAGTTCACTTTAAAGCAACATCATTGCCAGAGGGGATATTTTGCATCTACACAATGAAACTAAACAAACAAACAATTTTCAAGACTTGCAGAATGAAAATAAATGCTGGGAAATACATTTTCCAATGGTTTTGGTAGAAAATCCAAAATTCTGATTTTCAAATCGAGAGCATAAGTATCTATTTTCAATGAGAAGCCATTTGCCAACTTAAACTACCCAGCAACTACTACCACTAACTACAAAGTTACTAAATATATCACTGCTGTACACCTATATGTAAATATTAACTGTGTGTTTACTCACCCTGACAATAACAGAGAAGAGAGACCTGCATCCAGAAGCTAGGTTTACATAAGGATCCAAAAGGTATTCATGTATATGAGGATGGGGAAACAAGGACAGTTTGGACAACACTGATGTAACTTGTAAATTTACATCATAGGGCTGCAAAAAAAGGAGAACACAGTGCTTAGTTATTTTCATGCTGGCTTCTTTTCATCCAGCCAGTGTTTATTTAACTACTAGAACCTTATATGCAGAGTTATGAATAAATAAAGGTAAAAAGTTAGATTAGAAGACAGGCCCAAAACCTCTGCTTTCCACAACAGAAGAGATGCGAATATGACAGCTAGGTATTAGATGTTATTATCTGTATAATCGCTACAGCCACTTGAAGCCACTTGTTTATTGTAGGAAAGTCCTTCCAGTGAAACATTTCTTCAGCTCAGTAGCTAAACAAATAGCATAGAATCAGCCTAGGTTATACATCTGCCTGCTTCTCCTGGATAACTGTAAAGTGTATGAGCTCAGGAAACTCAGAGACAAATCCATGTTTATGGCTAATATGGTGTTTCTCTTCTACTTTCTTTTTTCTTGGAAAGAACCATTGCAGAAGGCCTGGTCATCTTGTGGCAGCATGTTAAGGGAGACAAGACAGTCCTAGGCTGGGAAAGCAGCATGAAATTCTGAGCTTCTTCTCTACCTCCTTTCTCCAAATCAACCAAATGGGAGAGGCAACACTGTCAGATGCTCTGAGTTGCTAATCAGTCATAAGGAAAAAATAGTACCTAACTTTCTAGGAAACAAACAGTGCCTAGCTTAAAGGATTTTACCATTCCAGTGAGAAACTCATTTCCATAAAACCAAGTATTTTCACCATAGCTTCTTTATGTTCTAAGTACTTTTTTTTCCATCTTTGATTTTCTCATCACAGTGAAAACAAGCTGACATTTTAATTCAGCCCAAAATTTGCAAACCAGTGGAATTTCCTTCCATCTATTCAGTGGTGGAACAGACTACATTGACAAGAGATGGACAGACATTCCCTTGGTACATCCCTATGCCAGTCTGAAGATGTTACCAACACCCAGACGGTATAACTTAACCCTGTTGATTTTACCTGAAGTGGATTACAGGGCCCTCATTCATTTCTTTGACTTATTGGCAGTAACATCTTCAGTGGCATAATCACATCTAGAAGAGGATGATTTCATGGCCTCAAATTATCATCTTTATGCTCTCAAGTTAGCACCCCACTGACGAATCAGAGAACAGATTCTTCTCTTTTCCAGACTGTAAGATTTGGAAGAATTCAGCTTCAGATTAAGACAGATATATTTAGATATGTCTACATGTCTAAGCTCGCATTAGCCTACTCAACAGAGATCTGACACTTGATACACGTGCCTACACACAAACATCTCGTGCCATCTCAGATGCTCAAGAGTATCTGCTGGTCTCTTGACAGTTCCACAGAGGGTGGATCCTGCAAGATCTGTGTTGTAACTGCAAGCTTGTGGAAATATCTTGGGCATCACAAAAATGGCAACGGGTACCTCAGTTCAGGCAACTGAGTAGAGCTTTTAGTCAATACAGTCAAGGAAGCTGAGATGGTGATTCACTTTGCACTAAAAGACACACCTACTTGCTTTTCAGTCTAACGGCTCCAGAGACTACTGGGGCTGTTCTGACAAAATTTCCACTGACTACATGTGGACACCTAACTAATATTTAGGTACCTTATTTCTGAATTCATTACTACGCACTGTTGCATTGCAAAAGGAGTTGCCTTACAGATCTTTTGAAGTGAAAGCATGTATTTCTCCCAGTCAGTGGCAGTTATTTCTGTACTTGATATTCCAGCAACAGATTCATCCCAATCTTCTAACAAATGAAGCTTTCAGACCCTCGACCAGAGATGTTATAGGTAAAAGAGATCACTACATTTTGAGTTATTGTGGAAAAGTTACTCTGGAGACAGAGACACAAATTCCTTCCATAAATCCATTCCACTGCCTACCTAGCTGAACTGTAGAAGGTCTTTAGAGCTGTCTGAGTCAGTCAATTCATTAGGAAGCTTTGAAGCCATGAGCATTATCTGGTGTTCACAAGAAGAGAAAGAGACAAAGTAGTAACACGTGCTGCATTGTTCAGACAGATTGCTGTTGTGATTTGAACTAATTGAGAGCATTAAGGAAAGCTGCTTCTTCACACAGAGCTTTTATTTCTGTCCATGTCAGCAGACTTAGTAAGACAGCCTTACATCAGACAACATCCTAAAAAATTTCTCTGTAACTAAAAAGGTTAAAACCAGCAAAATTTGCAGTTCAGGAAATTCTTACAAAATTCTTAGGAAATGGTCAGTTCCACAGAAATGTATAATATTAACAGGAGGAAGAAGGTACTGTCTAGCAGATGAGGTACTGGATTTGAAAAGCCTTGAAACAAGTTACTTTACTTCTGTGCCTCAGCTGTCTTCTGTCAGAAACTAGGTTAGTGATACCTACCACCTCTGCAAAGTTTTCTGATATCTACTGATAAAAACTGGTAAAAACACAAGAACTACCTATAGTATTGTGACAAAGCAAAAAAGACATTGAACACAATCTGTAAGTAGTACTGTGTCCCCACTAAAGGCTTTTCAACATTTTTCACTTTGTCTGGACATTAGCACCAATTATGTCAAATTTGTCACTGACAGGACCCAGGTTTTGTTGTTTTGGGGTTTGGGTTTTTTTCTATGTGATTTTTGTGTTTCACTATGAATAACCCCTAGGAATTTCAGTTTGTTTTTTAGGGCAGGGTTTTGGTACGATATAATAAGGATTTACCCCTTCTGTCTGACTCAGGCAGTTAATTTTAATTCTTCTGGAGTCAAGAACCATTTTTGACACCACAGATCGTAACACCTTGCTTGACTAACCCAAACGTGTGTCATGCTGACAGGTAGTATATCAACATGGACACTGTGCTTCCATGCCAGATGTTACTTTTGTTGTAATTGTACGTATCTGACGCTCAGGTGTTTCTCAGGGAATATAACTTGGGTTCTTTACTTTCTTAAATTTATTTGTCATTGGTCAGACAAGGCTTTCATATGCATGAGGCTTGTTTTTCCTAAGAGCTGATGATGCCCAGTTTTCTTCATGACTCTAATCTATAACCGTTTCAGCTAGTCAAGTCTGCAGATTGTGTTTACTGGAGGCAAGACCCTGAGAATACACAATACAGCAATAAAAGTATTTGGCTTTCTTTGCTGACTTCTGAATTACAAAAGTTGGTACTCTTAAACTTCTTTCTCCCCTGAATGCTCACAAAGCTGACCTAGAGGCTACTACTGGCTTCCTGACAAGTTTCCTATGCATTTATGTGTTCAAATGGCTCTTGTCCTGCTTATGACCAGGAAAGCTGGCACTACCACAGCTAACTGTTTATTCTGTAGATAGGTCCATGTGCAAAACAGAAAATAATTGTACACAATTCTGAAACTGGTACTACTGCATCTGTAGCAACTCCAGCTGGTATTACAGGGAGGGTAATATTGACTTTCAGGGCTCATTTTCACTGGCAAGAAAAGTTATCTTCTTGATCTAAAGCAGCAACATTGACTTAACTAACTTAACTCCAGAGTTTAGAGAAGGCAAAGAAAGATTAAGTTTTCACACAGGGCAACCTCCTTGTCACCTCCCTGAGCCTTCACTTCACTTCTCCCCAGAAAGACTAGGTCGTGCAGGCTGGCTGAATACAGAAACAAACAGACATCAGGAAAATTCACTTTCTTTAAATTTCTTTGTACTAATCTGGGTCTGACATGTCACATCTTTTCAGAACAAGGAGCCAGTCAGATTATATCTCACTTGTTTGCCCTTGGCACCTATACTTTTATTAGTTGAAAATAATCAAACAGGGAAAAAACCCTACTTTACATTGCAGATGGAAAAGGATACCTTCTAGAAACTTTCCATGCACTGATAACATTTTTTTCTAACTGTGAAAAAATGGGGGAAATGTTAGCAGTGATACACTAAGTTCTTTTCATCTTACACAGTGACACAAACTGCTTCAAGAACACAACTTCAGATTGAAGTTCACACTGAAATGTGGCAGAAGGGAGCTGTACAGTATTTTATTTACTGAAAGATGTACATGCTTTTTAAGTGTAAATACTAGAAAATGAAAACAGAATCAGTGATGCTGGTACTGAAGGATTCCTAAGATACTATCTTACCCTCTTCTTTTACTTAAAGGATATTCTTGTCTTACTCATCAATTTAAATTATATTTCTGGTCAAGAAAACATTTTGTACACAAAAAAAGTGGGTAACAAAGATAGGAGAGTTTTTATTCTCTACTTTTGTTAATTTGAGAATGCTGATCACTATAACATCCCGCAACCTACAGAGACCTGCACCAAGGACATGGGACATTACACAATAATATGATGCTATAACAGACATCTGAGTGATGGGAATCCATGGGACCTTGGAGATGGGCCCTTTAGTAGTGAAGAAAGTATCAGAAATGGAATTCATAACCTGCTTTTCCTTACCTGATCAAGAATCCTGCCCATTCTTTCAAACAGGACTTTCAAGAAGTGTCCTTCAAAAAATGATGCTTCTAAATTGCACTTTTCCAAAGATCTGGGAGATCCAGGCCACTCCCACCGTAAGCAGATGACACAATAATCCCGGAACTAGAAAAAAGTAGTGAGGAAAACAGATTCAAACCTCTATGAAAGCCATTTCTTTGCTTTTAATAGTCCATATGCCTTAAAACCATAATCTGTAGCTACATGAAAAATCTAAGCCTCAAAAGAACAGTCAATCTAAAATAAACATGATCAGTTTCTATGTAGGCACCTCATTTTCTTCTTGACAGTCATGCTATTAGGGTAGTTTCAAAGACACAAGCGGAGAACAGAGCTTCCAAAAAGCAGCCAGGGCCAAAACACAAAGCAAAGCCAACACTACACATCCTGATCAGGGTTCTTCAAAGCAGGAATTGCATTCATATACATTCTTGTTGTCAGTACATTACCACACATTCACTGTATTATGTGTAGCTTATCTTCCTATCCAATCTACATTGCTCCCTAATTCCCAGTACAGGAAAGACACATGTATATGCAGGAGATACAACTGAAAAAAGTACTTCAGGGCTTTCTCTTCCCTCTCTTTGTTTCCTGTCACCAGTAACAGTCTTTCTCAACCTCTGCCTCTGCCTCTGACTTGCTGTGGGCTGCCTGATGTCTCACTTTCAAGGAACTATACCTTGAAAGGAGTGAAGGTTATAGCAGTGAAAAAAAGGAACACTGCAATAAACAGAAGCAAAAGACAGACAAAACAGACTCAGAAATTCTTCACTGCGTGTAGCTTACCTACTTGTGTAGGCTTCCAGGAATAGAAATATGGAAGCAGAACAGCTATTCGGATGTAATAACAGCAATAGGCAGGGCTATTCTTAGGGGGGAAATATTTTAAGAGTAGCCGTATCATTGTCAGGAAGTGACAGAAACCAATTCTGTTCTCTTAATAACTCTCACAATACTCTTTTTCCCAAGGCATGAAAGAAATACAAAGATGATATGTGTTTTCGGGCATCCAAGAATAGAACATAGGGGAATTTTACATCAACCTTTGTTTCCTCAGTATCTATTTTCCATTCCCTTTCTTTTCAGGATAGACTACAGATAAAACAATATAATAAATACAGAAATCCAAGCTTCCCATCTTAAACTGCTGATATCATAATTCAGAGGTTATGGAATTTTTGAAGTACCTACTAAATATAGCTCTCTCAGCTACTCTACTCCTTTGCATAAATTTCTCTATTCTAGAAGATGCACAGGGCTTCAATAAGAAAGCTGCAAATGATCAGTGATTGTCCTCTGACCAAGGAAACTTTAGATTATGTTTGTACAAACAAGTCTCATATTTATTTCAAAACAGTAAATCATAAAGCTTACCCTACCTACCAAAACTCCCAACTTCAAACCTGAATGCCTTAGGCCACACGTTCCCTATGATGAGCCTTTATTTTTAAAGTCCCAGATTGCGTAACTCCTATGCAGCATTTTAATTTCCCTTTAGTCCTTTCAAACAGCTTGGCAGGCAATTCTCCAAGAGAATGCAGATAAATGCAAAAGCAAATTAAGAATCTATCTGCAGTTCGGATCTTCTCTCAGTGTGTTTGTTGTATGAATATTAATGCATTTAATGTCATCCATTATTCCCACTAGAGTAATACAAGGTGGATTCACCATCAAAAGATCTCCAAAGGTAAGTTTTCATTAGAAAATATAAATTTAATTTTCCCATTTTCCATTACCAAAAGATGCATTTAGTAGAACTATTTATAGAACCATTTGTATATTCTCATAAGCAATTCAAATTCTCAAGGACTAAGGAAGACTTCACTGACTTACTTGTCTGTGGGCATCTCTGAGGTAAGTATCATAACCTGTACCCTCCACATGGTATGATGACTTAGCTTCATCAGGTACAAGACAGAGAAAACTAAAGAGAAAAGAAGTACATTAATGAATATCTATAATCCACAGAGCACCAGATCAATACTTTCTCATCGTCTGTAACAGTGTACACTATACTGAATTGTCTGGCCAATTAATTCACAGATTCTACCATAACTTTATGTGAAGAACTAAGAATACAAAATCTATTTAAGCACACCTATTCTAACTACTGTTCATAATAGCAAGATATATACTTCAGAACTTTTGTATCTAGCACTAGAGGTAAAAAACTCAGTGGAAGCATTTTCTGACAATTAGCAGACAGACTGGAGATGAAAAGGTATAGTCATAACCAGGTCAAGCATTTGCTAAAGGTCAAACTCCATCTTACTAGAGCATATGGAAAATTTACTGAGGAATAAATGAGCCAAAAGAGAAGAAGAATTACAGTTAAAAACCTTCTTAACCTACTGCATAGGCAGTTTTATTTACCATAGTTTGTTGTGGTAAAAAAAATGAACATCTAAGAACATACAGGAATATTTGCATATAAATGTCACAGTTACAAATATCATTGCCTTTGCCCAGGTATGTAGTGCAAATACTATATGTCCTTATTACTTCACCAATATCTGACCTGAAAAGCATAAGAAAATTCTGAATCTTATTAGAGAGAACTGTCTTTCTTTAAAAAATAAATATGAAACCCTAAAACTTCTGGGCAGCAAAATAAAACTCAGTCTTCAGACCCTGTTTCCAAATTTCAGCTTTCTCCACACCCCAAGAACTGCTGGAGGATCCCGTAAGATTTATATGCAGAAATATGTAGTAGCTGACTTTTCGTATAGAGTTACCTTATCTGAAAAAATACAAATTTGCAAAACACTGCAAATCCTGAAAACAATTCTATTCGCTGATGAAGATTACATGAGGTGAATTTAGGAGAGTGTTCTTTGCGTCTTTGCTCCAAACCATGTCCACCATAAACTATATATAGCAGTACTGGGGGAAAGAGGGCAAGAAGTGACTATGGCATTCTACACTGACTGTCCTTGGGCTGTTTGCTTCCTTTGGCTAACACCTTTGATTATTTCTGAGTAAGTAGATAGGTCAGCACTGAAATACCAGCGCTGCTTTGCTACTGTGTATTAACAGAGCAAACAGCATTTGTCCTAATACTAGTTGCTAAGAGAATTACCATCACTAAGTTGCTTAGAGCAGAGCCTGTCCTCTTTGTGATATCCAATTTGCAGTATGTCTAACATGCACAAAGGTATGTTACAGGTGACAGAGGTGCCCCTTGATTTTCAGGGAGCAGAAGGTTATCTCTAGCATGGCAATTATTTACTTTTATATATTTGTTTAAGGAACTTGGAAGTTTGAGGGTTTTTTTCCCCCTAAAATGTTTATGGCAAGACTCCCCACACTTCTCCAGGAAGGTCAAGTCCTGTAACAGCAGTTTAAGTATAGCAAGTATTTTTGAGAAAAGAAAGTTTTATAATCAATGAGGCTTTCATCATTAATTCTGAGTATTCAACTGGACTATTAGCTTTGAAGTTTTTCTGTTTTTCTCATTTATGTTGAATTATTTTTACTTATTGTAGGCTCTAATCTTTCAGGAATAACTTTCTGATAAAATGCCACATAATTTCCTTCTGTGAAGTCATTTTACCAGCTGGCACAGAATAACATTCATTACGGGGTACATTTAATTTGCACAGTATGTGCAGACACCCACACATTCAGAGACTTCTTTAAGTGTTTGTTTCAACTTACCTATTTACAATTTTATGAACTTCAGTCTTCCCATCATTTTTTGGATGTTCTGGACTGACAGGTGGAGAAGCACTGAGCCACTCTTGAGTTGACAATGTGTTATCTGGAGACAGATCAGTAAATAATGGATCTTCCTCTAGGTCTCTGTGAGATTATATTAGACAAAAACATAATCATTCACAGAATGTCATGGAAGGCAGGAAACTCTCTGGGTAAAGAAGCATGCTTTCTATTTTTCTTCTCTGAACAACTAGGATGTTTTCCAGAACATTATCATATGCATATCTTTTTACCTAATTAATATGCAGAAATACCAACCTTTACCAATGCCCAACAAACTTTGTTTTGAACAAAAATTATAACTTCTTGATCTGAACAACAGAGTACACATCTTTGACTCGTACAAAGTCACTGCATTAAATCATTTAAACTCTACCCACATTTTTTACATGAGAGAAGAGTTATACTCCAGCAAATTATAAGACTATTTTAGATGACTCAGAAATATCTAAATTAAGATACCTAAAATAGCTGGTGTGACTAGTCCTTACCACTCCATCAGTAAAAAAAGGAGTTACAAGAGTTACATAGGGTATTTAAAAGGATTTTACGTAAAGTGGCCCAGAAAAGTTCTTCCATCAAAAAATGATTCAAGAACATAAATGTAAGCAAGACACCTAAGTGCCTGACTTCAAGAATAATCTCACTGAAAACAATACAAATATACATAGACTTAAGCTAGGTAGATGCATAAGTAAATTGATATATGAAGACCTTTGAGTGCCTATTGTTCTGGAAAGAGGCTATTGGTAATTTTAGCTTTTCTGTTACTGTTCTAAAAATTTCCATAAGTTGCTGATATAATAATTTCTGCATCACTTTATGGATATGGATTAATACATACAGCACTCAAAGTGTTATCTTTGCTCACTTTTTTTTCAATTAGTGAAAAAAACCCGTTTTGCTCTAAAAATAAGGATCCAAGTTAGCTGTTGTGAAAACTTCCCTTAAAAAAGAAACTTACACTGCTCCTGCAATCTGTCCATTCTCTACCACATCTTTATCTTCTTGACAGAGAGGCTTATATTCCATATAGTTTCTTTCTTCTAAATTTCTCAGAACCAAATTATAAAGAATGTGCTCATTGGGTTTTTGCAAAAGGTGCTCAAACATTCGTAAAGTCATTATGCTGATCTGCAACATAAAAAGTAAGAATTCAATAAACTGATGCACCGCTGCCTTATGCTTTTTGTCTTATATCTGGTCTGTACATCCTAGAACATTGTGATCACTTATCTACATTATGGAAGGAAGCAAAAATCCTAAGAAAAATTAGGAAATTGTTATGCTGAATGTGGTATAAACATGGGTGAAGAGTTCACACACATTGGAAAATCAGTATGTGGATGTATTTTGTCGCTGTAAAACAAAAACTGTTGTAAAATCTGCCAAAATAACAATACAAAGAACATCCAGGGAACTTACAACTTAGCTTTCTGTATTACAATCAGATCCATGCTGGAAGACGGTTATCATTGTACAAGTGACACATAGAATAGGACTTAAAAGTTAATAATAAATACGCAGAATAAAACAAAGTAATCCTGCGATATTGTGACTAGAATATAGGCTACGATTTTTACATGGAAATATTATGTAGGCTTTTAAAAGGAGACTGACTTCAAGCAATGCAGAGACAGTTTTTAAAGACAGCTTTAGAGAGCTTAGCTTTGCAAAGATCAACTAATTTATACAGATAACTCATTCTGACAGCGTGTGCAGGTAAGCATCCTGAAAAAAATGGGTATGTGAAGGCACAGATCTGTATTTCAGGCAAGCTTCGTTTTTATTTGAAAAAGTAGAGGGTGGAGGTTGTTTCACAGGAAAAAATGAAACAAGCAGCTCCTGAGGAGGGATTTCACTGAAGTAAGTTATTTTAACGATGTTTACTGTGTGATAAGTGCTTGAAGTTATTGTATCAACTTTTAATTGGCATTGTGTATATTCTCTGACCACACTTACATTATATAAAAAATAATAAGTTTTTAACTATACCTTATGTGATAACATGACAGAATTGACACAACATGGAGAATAACAGCGATGCAACATATAACAAAGCATGAATTAAAATGCAATTACAGAAACTGATTTTGCCCTATCTTACAGATGAGCAAGCCTAACTAGATATGCATAGGGGGCAAGCAAATTTAGCAAAGAATCTTTATTAATGGGAACAATGTGCTAGCTGGAGAAGAGCTTGACTGTCATTTTCTAAAGGGAATTTGCAGGGCTGGCAGTCAGAACTCTTTTCCTTGGCAAAAAAAGTTAGCTGACACAAATACGAAAAAAACTCACAACGGCATTTTTACAGACTATGCAAGACAGAACTGGCCAGAAGACATTATTATACCATTATCACTTCTCACCTCGTCAGAAATATGATCACAGTGTTCAATTAACCTGTGTCGCAATGGATGTCTGTTGATATCTGTCAAAGTTTCTGGCTCTCTGTGTTCTCCAAGTATAAAATAAACTACTTCCTGTAGCAGGACATCTGAAGTCACTTGACGAACAATGCGATGCAATAGTGCAGTTGATGTGAGGATTCCGATCTCTGAACTGAACAAAAAATTTCATGTCAGATATGTAGTGCATTTCACCTGAAAAAAAAATCAGCTTGATTCAGATTCTGTTCTGCTGTGTCTTGTAGGATGCTACTCACGTTTGCATCAGCTGGGGTTCCATAACATCAATGAAAAATCGTTCCCGCACAGCTTTTGCCATAGCAACAGCAGCAGTCTGAAACAAAAGTACAAAATGGTATGTCTCAAACTCAAAAGCTACGAAACAACTAGAACTACTTATTTGCTGAATATATTTGTATCATCTGTAAACATTCCAAACCTTTTGCGCTTCTTTGATGAGTTGATCACAGTAGTCAAACCATGAAAGAAATGAAATCAATGCTCTTTTCCCTGGAAAAGCAGATGCATCTTCTTTGTGGCTATAGGAATCCAACCTAGGGAACACAGGGAAAAATACTTATTTAGTCTACAAGTAATTGAAGAGTCTTGGACTTCATTCTTATTGAACTTAACAGAGTAATTAATGATCTATTTGCAATGAAGTGAACATTAAAATAGCTTTTCTGCCAGTCTCTACTAATCTGGCAGTGCTATCATTACACGTTTTCAGTGGCATGCTAAAGGATATAAAGTACGTACAGCAGAACTCTGTTTGGTTAAGTATTTCTTGAGTCAGAAGGGAAAACTGATCACCTAGTCTGTTCTCCCAGGAAACACAGACCACAGAAACTGAATCAATAACTCCTGTAGTCAGAGAACCATAAAATGAAGGCAGTTGTTCTCTACTCTGTAAGCAACCTCAATCAAGTCCACCAAAACCACACAGTGTATACCTGAACTAGATTGTATCTTCCAGAAAAAAACATGTCTCACAATTTAAAGGCTCTAAGGAATAACAAATTCACCATTTTCTTTGGTAAAGCAGTCCAATAATTATTTATCTCACTAGTCAAAGTTGTGTGTTTTTCCGTTCTAACTTCAAACTCCAACCACCAGAAATTTTGGTAGGTATTTTGCAAATACCTACTTTTTGTCTCAGTACTAATAGATCACGAGCAATTCATAAGAATGAAAGCAGCATGGGGAAGAGAAATGTTTTGAGAATCTAACATGCAAGCAGTTAGGATAACAGGCATGTGTCTTTTGCTTCATGCTGATGAGTTATGCAGTAACTCTTTCCTTCTTCTTTTTTTACTGCAAAAATTTTGCAACAACAGCCTGTTACCAAAAACACCCTTCCTGTCCCCTGCAGCAGCTTACAGTGCTCACTGTGTACAGTGAAAAGTTTGTTTCCTAAATCCTTGACATTTGAACAAGAAAATAATCTGTACCTGATACTACAGCTACATCACCACAAACTGCTAATGTAATTCAGTGGAAAAACTTGCCCCCCAAGGAATCTCTGCAAGGGACTGGCAGACAAACCTGGCCCCATGTCAGAAATCATGCGTACACTGGATGCCTGAAGTCGTACCGCTATGCTCCAGCTGGTATCTCAGCCCTGCTCTTGATACTTTAGCATGGGGGTGTGAATATTTTACACATCTTATCTACCTATAGAAAATTAGTTTCAGGGAGGGGTGTAAAATCACCTTGGGTATTAAATACAAAAATAAAATTCTTACCCCCAGTTAATTGCCTCCACTGTTTCAATGTCTAAGGGATCCAGTGACTGAGGCAGGGCTTTGTAGAGGGTGGCCAGCCTGTCTGTCAACAATTCACATAAACAAGTGCTTTGAGTCAGGCACTTGGCAGCTGCTGGTTCTGGCAAACTCACCAAAAGCATAAGGCCTTCACAGGCCTTCACTGCTATCCGGCCGTCCTGGCAGAAGGGCATGGAAGAATTAATCAGAGGGTGAATGAAGCTCACTCGAAATCAAGAAGCAAACATCTCCCAAATAAAACCTCTCCATTCCCCCACAGTGAGTGAATGAATTTATTTTTGTGGCCTTTCAGTCATTAAAACTTAATTCTAGTGAATTTGGATGATACAAAATAAAGAATCTCACCTGAAACCATGTCAAATACTAAGAATGCAACTGCAACCTTCAGGTTGACAGAACTAGAGCTGTAGGTCAGCTTAAGATCAAGATATTAGACAATGTAAACTATCATTTAACAATAATAAGGTACATCAGTAGATTCAGTTTTCTGCTCTCAACACTGCTGTAGCAATTACAAGCTTACCCAACCCTCCTCTAAGTTTTTTGAAAGAATCTGAATATGAATTTGAGGATGGAGCTGGGTAAGACATACAGCAGTTGTTTTTAAAAGAAGAAATCAAACCTCTAGAGATAGCCCAGTGCCTTTACAAAAAAAAGTGGGTTTGTTTAAGTCAGTACAATTGAAAGTAGTTTTTTAAATATTCTCTTGCAGTGTATTTAATCTAATGATTATCCTACATAGCTTGTCTGTGAAACATGCAACATCCTATACAAATCGCTCAAAACCCACTTACATTACCATCAACAAACTTAATATTAATTTTCTAAAATAATATTTTTACTTTAATCTGAATTGGCAAAGAAAATTGCCAATTTACAAAAACTTCCTGCAAAACAAACCTTGTTTTACTTTTTATTTTTAAAATACTGTGTGTACATACATGTGTATTCACTCTCTCTGCCCACTTCACACAGCATCCAGACTATTTCATTTGATCATATTAAACAGAACAAAAAAAACAACTCACGGGACTTTTAGTGAGGTTTAGTAGAGAATTCACTAAATTATAGTCTTGATTTGGACAAACAGTGGAGGACTCGGGTGATGATGTGACATTTAGTTCATCCAGACTGAAAGACAGATCATCCGCCTGTTGCGGGAGGTCATCTTCCTTCTCCATTTGCTCCGCTCCAGCAGCACTATGTATTTCTTCAGGCTGTCCCGTGTCTGTTTTCAAAGAGTCTTGGCCTTTTAGCATGTCTTCTGTGATTACACTTGCTGATCCTTTGGAAGCCATTGCTTTTAACTTACTCTGCAAAGCATTTTTTGGAATTACACAGTTGAAATTACTGTTCATCCTGAAGCAGAAATTCACTAAACGCAAATTTTTTACATCAGCATTTTAAGTAGTCCTCTACAAGGCTGGACACAGTAACCATGTAGAATGTAATGGGTTGCAGGAGCTTGGCAGCTTTTAAACCTGTAACATTTTTTAATTTGCTTAAATTTCTCTTAAGCCCTGTACCATTTTGCTTCAAGGATGAATATGCCATTTACAAAGAGATGTCAACTTTTTCTCTCCACGACTGAAAGTACATATTCACTTCATTTGCCCACTATTTGATAGAAGTTTTTCATTTACCTTATTACTGCACCTTTAGACCTTAGCACATACTATAAAACATCCCTTTCTAGATCAAGGCCTCAAATTCGTCTAATGTCTGAAACACTATTTCCTGTTGGAGTCATACAATTAAACTCAATCTAAACTTCGTGAGACTTTATCTTCAACAGGAAATGGAAAAACATGTCTTTTGTGACAGCAGAGTACTCTCAAGTTGTGTTTCTCATGAAGAAAAAGTTGAGTAGATTGAATGGAGAGAAGATATTGGAAGTTAGCATTGGGCACTGGATACTGTAACAGATCACAGAGAAACTTCTCGGAAGCTACAAAACATCTCTACCTAGCCTGAAAGAAAGCAACCCATCTGTCTTCCCATAAATCTGTCTCCAGCACATAAGAAGACATTTAAATTTGTGCTCTGTGATACCAAGAAGAAACTCACAGCAAGGCAAGAATTTAATGTTCTTCTGGCACAAGCACAGGTGAATAATACTTTAGTAGAACCATAAATTAGACTTCAGCACAAGACATTTTTTCAAGTGAGTACAGTAGTGAGATTATAAATCCAAATGGTTCCCCTTCTCTATGATAACACCAAAATTATTACAAGTATATCTCAAGCATTAATAATTTAAAAGAGTAACCATTTGGGGTTAATGGCGTTTAGTACATACAAACCAGCAGGGACTAACTACATGACAGTCTCAGGCAGCAAACTAGAGAACTGCTGTGAATGCTTGCTTGATTGATGTGCATTCAGTGTGGAGAATTTGTACTGAATGTTGTGATACACTTATATAACCAATTCCCTGGAGAGGCAACTCAGTGGTAAAAGCAGCACACTGCAAGCTATAAAATAAATATGATTTTTTACTACAGTAGAAAAATTACTCCTTCAACATATGTTTTGTTTTTTTTTTACAGTGTGAAATGTGTAAGGCTGCAAAGCAACCCAAATGTGTCTGTCTGAACCATGCCTGTCTATCCCTAAATCTTCTAAAGTCTTCCAGTATCCTTCCATATATTTTATCAATACACAGGAATACCTGAATCACAACAATAAGCCTTGCACATAAAGCAGAACTAAAGGCTGGAACTGCATTTCAGTCCTGGATTATACACTGTTGCTGGCACTAGTCAAGTAGCAGGCAGGGCTGCCAAAGAGAAAAGCTACTTTTTTCAAAAATTAGATAATATTTTGTAAAATACTTATTTTATCTTACACCGGCCTATTACCTCATGTCTGGACTCTTCTGTCATTTGAAAGGACATAGTTTGTTTAGCTAAGGCATCAAGGAGAAGACCTAAAATATATAAATGTATAAATGCCCCTAGAAATTTGTCCATAGCTCATTACTGTCACATTGGCAGGTGACACAAAGCAGCCTGCACATTGAACAACACACGGGCAGAATTTTTGCATGTATTTAAGCTTCCTATTGTCTAATCATGCAATTCTGCAGCTTAGCTGCTCACCTGCCTCCTGTAAAGGTGCAAAACAGGATCCTGAATGACCTAATAGAAAAGGTTTCATAAAACACATATTCAATGCTTTCTAGGCAAAGTACTCCTCTAAGTGAATTCAGCATCAGCAGAGAGCAGACAATATAAAAATACATTTTTATGGTTTTGTGATATGTAATTATCAGAGTTTCAAAATCTGTGGTGAATGATGCCATGTCTAAGTTCAGACAGATTTAAAAAGAGTTCTGTGAAAAAATCAAGTGATATCACAGCTAATGACAATCTCTACTTAATTCATGGTGAGATATATAAAGCTGGTAATTTGTAGTAATGAAAGTAGAAATGAAGAGTGAAACTATTGTTCATTTTATAAAATTAAGGTACAACTTTTTAATGGACACTATATTAGAACTTGTTTAAGGTCTCAAGAGCAGAAACTGAAACACAGAGAATCAAGTGCCCCTTTGCATGGAACAATCAGTTGCAATGAGTATCTTGCATAAGATGGGATGAGATGAGATGGGGTAACTAAGGAATAAACAAATAAGGAAAAACATGAGGTAACAAGTTTAGCATAAAATAATGACTGAGATAGACCTGGTGAGTCAAACATTCCTATGTAAGTTCTTTCTCTCTACACAAGAACACGAAAAACTCAGTTTAAAGAAAAGAATAAATTAAAGCCAAAATAAAATCAGTATATGGATTTTAAAGATTTAAAAAAGTAGAATGCAGTTCTTCCAGTTCTTACTTCTGCAACAAAAGTAACTTGCCCAAGAGATACAGGTATGCCACACAGCCTTATTGGTTAAGCAATATAGGTGAAAGATTTTAGTAAAATATAAACATCATTCTATCAACAAACTATTTGATATAGAATCATACAGAGGAAACCCTAGGTTTGTACATAATCAGATTTTTATGTTCATAAAATACTGTAGAATCTGAGCAGGAAAAATCAAAGAAGGAAGCAAAACTAACAGTTACAGACAGACTGCTTTGGAGAGATGTATCTGCATTTTAGTTTATAAGCGCTGGAGATTTGAGAGAGAAATACCACACAGAATTCTGTAAATCTACCCTTTCATGCATTTGAAGGTCAGAAACAACTATCAAGTCACAACAATAGCACCTCTAAGAGGCATAGATGTGAACAATCAGAATATTTTATTCTAATAAAGGACAATTCTGCACCCCAAGTACCTTATCTGCAAACAATTATCAGAAGTTGTGAAGACATATGCCTTAGGCTACGACGTTGAGAATAATGTTGTGAAGGAAACAGAAGCTACAAGAAATGTTCTTCAGCTTGCCTGAATTCTATATCCAGCATTTTGTGAAACTAGAGATCTCTTTGAAATTTGGAGTCATCTGGTATTCCATGTCTTATTTTTAATACCGTAATCTTGCTATTTTGGGGAAGAACACTAATGTCTGATGAAACGCTTGTGGTTCTTATGACTGGGGTTCTCGGGTTTGATTTCAAGGGCATTATCTGAGTATAAGAATCATTCAGAGGGTTCTTTTCAAACCATACAACTTACACAAATGACATTAAAGGTAATCCTGGTTTGGACTTCTACCATATTCTGCATGTAACATATCTAGTTGTTTGCTTCTGAGTGCTTTTAATGTTTAAACACTAACTTTTCAAGCCTTAACGCCATTTCTACTGCTTGTACAGCTACAGTGGATACAGTGGCAATCAGGGTGGTATTTAATTAAGGTAAAAATAAACTCAAGATGGATTCCTTACTACTGACTTAAAAGTGATATTAATATATTCAATGGAAAATAAGGTATCTTTGCAGTTTAGCAGCCTCTGCTGTTACAGATCTTGTTTGCAGAAAGCCTGTAAAATATTCCTAGAGGATGCTATAGCTACATCTTTTCACCTATATATCACATGCTTAATAGATACGGTGTCACCATAGGAAACATTAAAGTGGGAGCAGGAGGCATTTCTAAATGGACTTTCATAAATTAAACTTTTATATGCTCCTTCTAAATAGGAACAGAAAGTCAGTCTAGAAATTCTTTCTCCTCCTACTCTGATTTCATCAATGCCACATGTTAAGTTCGAAGAGGGAGTAAAGATATTTGGCTTTCTTACAGATAGAAAATAATGTCATATTGTAGATTGTGAGCTGGCACTGCAGCTAGACCATATGTGCCACTACCAAATAAGGGCCCAATCCTGCAGAACACTTAGCAACTTGCACGGTTTCAATGCCCCGTGCAATCTGTCCCTTAGTCTTTATTGGGCTGAAGACAAAACAACATCAGAAATCCAAGGTCTCCCTCACACAGTGTTCTACATTACAACTCATATCCCTACTCTAAAGGCACTTTCACTACAAAGGATAAAGTCCTCAGGCAGGTATACTTGTGAGCCCTGAATGAAATTCTAGTAAAAATAATCAGATGTATCAAGTCACTGGCGGAAAAAAAAAAATACTTCTAGTATCACAGGAAAAAAATCACAGAGTGAACGAAAACTAAGCTATGAAGCATGATGTGATACCTGCAGTTCTCTATTAGATGTTGTCTGTGAGTAAATACACCTGGAAAATTTTTATTTGATTTACGCACCTCAAGGAAGAAGTTGACCAGGTATGGATCCTGTTTCAGCTTTGCACATACTATACAGAGAAACTGAATTTCCTCATTTTCTGTTGGCGTTGCCAGAACTTCACCACACAGCCTGATTAATTTCTGTCACATAAAGTGAACAATTAAGACAGAGAATAAGTTATAGCTTTTTCTAGGAATGATGGACTGCGTTCTTTTTCTATACACATACTACAATGACGTATGATTATTGACTTGAACATTTGGTCTAGATTTCGATTGCTGTGAACAAGATTTCTTTATTACTTATGACTTGCATTGCAGTGGCAGTCCAAGGCTCTAATCATCAATACATTAAAACTGATATTGCACTTGAGCAGTTTCTTTAACTTGCTTGACAATAGAAGAATTAAAGATACCATTAGCTACAGCAGAATAAGTGAAACTTGCCATGCCAAAACATAGTTTACTGAAAATTTGAACAGTACCTGCACTGGCCTGTGCACATTTATGTGGGGAAGAAGAGGTTGCCGTATTCTTCCAAGAAGTTTTGTGTAAAAAGCCAAAACTTGCTGTTTCATTCCTGGAGGACACTGAAACAAAAAACAGATGAACAATAACAAAAACATAACAAATGCGGAGAGAAACATAGATGCAAATTTGTCACTCAAAATGGCTAATTAAACAGTGATAATTTATCCAAAAGTATTTTTTAAAAAAATCATAATCTGTTAACATACTACTTTTATCGATATTAACAGAGATCAACAAAAAATGTTGTATCTCATTACTGTTTTCTTTTTCAAATTATTCATACTTTCAGTTAATTGCTCTAGTGCAGACTTCTACTAATCTTTCCAGGAAATATTCCCTATCAATACAGTGATAAGGGGAAATTAACTCTGAATTAATTGGCTGCAGGTCAGCTGTCTTTTACGGTACTGTGCCATCAAGTCCAGCAATTCAGTGAGTCAGTACTTGTAAATATATGATGATAAACTATAAACATCTTAATGTCTACAAAAGGTTTTTTAAATTCATGAGCAATTAACCTTAGACAGATAAAGCCTTTATAAATGCACAGATGTTCCAGGACAAGAGAAAGCTGTTGTCTTCCCTGAGATTCAGCAGAATGTAAATCACAAACATCTGTGGAACATCCAGACCCTTGTCTTACTATCCCTCATGCATCATGCCACATGAAAGTACTTTCCTATCTCCACCAGATCCGATGGCTTGTGGTCCTTTATATACCTTTGTTTCTAGCTAAATCCCCCCTGACTCTAATGTGTTCTACCATGTTAATAAATGCTGTTATTTCATAGGTTAATTTTAACCCACATCATTTCCCTCATCTGGTTCACTGCACAGGTGAATGGGCATGGGTGGCAACAGCCAGGAATGACAACTGCCTAAACTGGTTCTCCTTCCAAGGTAATTATGCCTAGATTATTAATACCCAATTATCACTGAGTTGTCAAGCAGTCCATTGAAAAGAATGGCAAAATGTGTACCGTCAGGGTGCGTCTACAATAATAAGTCTAAGTGATTGCTGTGAAAGGATATTGTTCTTTTTGCAATAGATCTTTGCAACATCTTGCAAGCATGAACTGTGTGTTTACTTCAGATGTATCAACTCACAGGTGACGAAGTATAAAGACAGGCTGTATAGGAATTGCTTGTACAGGCATATTTGCATAAGTGCAAAATGACTTCTCTCAACTCTTAGAAACATACGACTAATTACCTGCTTCACATATGTCACCATTTCATCTTGGTTCCTTGACAAAGTTTACAGATTACTGAACGAGCTGTATTTCTGAGCAAGTATTTTCAATACATCAGGTATCTTAGCCTGATCATAGGACAGCTGTTACAGTAACAGAAATTGTAGAGCTCTGGTCCTTCCAGAGCAAGGAACATCCCAGGCTCAGACAGCTGGTACCCTACATTGTCTATATATGTAAAATCAAGTAGATTAAAAACTCATGACAACATGTCAAAGACTGACTGAGAATGAAACCACGGAGAGTTCCATTTATCCTTGGAACACAATACACCATACTTTCCTAACTGCATCTGCATCATGATACAAAAAGTTCTAGCACAAGGGCTGCCAAGTTAATTCTCCCCATGATCCATCCAACCCCATACATTTCAGCTCGTAAGTCTGCCAAGAGAGATAGCAACAAGAATGCACCAAGACTATGAAGCTGATTTCACAGGTGCCACAAAGCAGACATGAGAAGAACCAACATTACCAAGGGCTGCATTCATACCAAAGACTCGGATGTGAAAGCTGTCTGGGGATCAGCTTAAATTAATGCTTTCTGACATGGTAGTCTTTCTGAGCAATAACTCATCACATTCAGAAAAATTACACAAAATTTGTATTTAATACAGCACTTTTCACCCAAGAAACTCCCAACACTTAAAAAAGGACAGAGAGGGATAATTTGATCTTGTAGAAGCCAGAAAAATTCCAGACTGAACAAAAGTGTTTCTACTTCCAGCTTCACAGTCAATATTATTAGAGTGGTAATAAATAAATCTCAGGATTCTGCCTTAGCATCTCACTGGTTGTCTGACTTTGATCACACTTGTAAAAGACTGTTATTTGTAATATATTGGTAACATAAGCAAACAGCTATTTGCTAGAGTTCAGTGTCCCACACTACCACCTACTGTAGAACTTCAGTCCCGATTACAATTACGAGCTCACACAAAAGATAATCTGCTCTGCTGAGAAGTACATACATCAGCTTTTCCTAGCGTGTAGAGTGTCTCCAAAATCTTGTGATGTAGCAAATACTCCATACATGGTCCTGTTTCGCCTGATTCCCTCTCATTTTCTTCTTGAACTAGAATATCCAACATCTGTTCCAGGTGAGAAGGAATGTTGGTATCAGTCACAGGAGCTTTGTCATCTAAATAGAAGAGATGTGCAATTAAGAATGATTAAAATATTGTCCTCACTTTTCTTAAGTTCAGTTCCAAATTTAAGCTTTACAAACATGACCACTCATTTAAAGAATCTTATATATAGTACGTAAGTTTTTTAACACGTCTTAAATCACATCTTCAGAACCATATATGGAAATGTAAACTGGAATATGCATTAGGCAGATATCTAACCTTGCAATGGGGAAAAGGTGAAATGCCAAATTTCAAAACATGCATTAATTACACAGTCAAAAAGGAAAACTTTTACACCCAGAAACCAAGCTTAGGGAAAGAAAGGTTCAACTCTCAATCTTCCAGTTAGTATCCACTGTGTCTTGATAACTTCCTCTTTGACTCTTCACATAGTATTCCGAAATCTACAAACAGCCTCTAACATCAGCTTAATTTGCAGCTCATCAGTTCCTTTACAAACTAGACAACTAAATAAATGGGTTTCCTAATGATAACAACAAAGAAAACACAAACTCTGTGCTGTTTATTCTTCAAAACTTTTTAGATTTGTCTTTTATACTTTCTGCATTAAGACAGCATTCTGTCAAACTTTATGAAGGAAAGGGTAAGACTCTGATTTCATTATACTAAAGTCATGAAAATGCTGTTGATTTATGCCACTGGCAGCGGGAGCTGGCATTAATGTGTTGTAAAGCACATCCACACGTGCAGATCTTTTTTATTTTTTTCAGCTAAATTCTCCTTGAACAACTATCCCACTAGGGAAATGGTTACTACTTCTTATGCAATAACCTAAAAATAACTGTCACTTGCATGCAAATGGCAACAAGATCACAAAGGAAAGCTGCCATGTCAGAGTGGTTTTGGTCTCTACCACAACCTCCAGTTAGCCTAGAGTGTTTTGCTTGAATTTCCTAGGCATAATTCTGCTCCCACTGCAGAGGACAGAAATATATCCACTGAGTGGAAACTTGTTTTTCACAAGACTTTTGAAAGTCTGGGAGAGAGGTCAGCTTTTTTTCTGCACCACATAATCGCAGGTATCAGCTTTCCCCTACCACCCTGTCATTTCTACCTTAGGAAACATCACATAGCGTTCCAAAAGATGGGTATTTAGAACCAAGGGTCAAGTTTCAGCTTGTAAGAGTAAATATTTATATAAACAAGATCACCAGTCCCAGACACAAACACAGATTCAATAGCTACTCTAGCAGAAATGCAGAACTACTAAGCTTGAGGAAAGCATGGTAACATTTGCTTTTAAAACTTAATAGTTTAATAACTAGGACCAAAAAAAAAAAAAAAAATTTAAATGTTGCATAACTGTTGTAGGAAACCAGGGAAAAGTTTAAGAAAAAGAAACTACAGCCATATTTCATCAGAATACCCATTTTTTAGAAGAGCAGAATAAGGTCTGGAGAAGTTTTAATAAAATGTGTTCTAAATCTGCTCACAAATTCACTTTTCAGAGCTATGTTATTAACATACCTTTCCTGGAGACAAGACACTAAAGAAAAAATACCTAATACTGAGCATACAGAATTCATATATGTCTGGTAAAATCTATGAACACAAGATTTCTTCTGTTAAAATCTTGGAAAGAAAAAGAAAATCCCTGATGCAAAACAATAAAAAGGTTAACAGCAGGGACTACATTTCTGTAGCTGTCTGTTTAGATTAAACAGAATATGTGAAGAGAGAAATTGGGTTGGACGTGAAAAGGTAAAATTCTCTACATGGTACTCAGGAAAGGAGACCTTCCCTCAATCATTTTTCATGCCTACTTTTTAAGGGATGAATGGAGGTATACAATATTTTTAATTACTAATTATTATTGTTTGTATTTTGATGAAAGACATGACTCATTTTAGTATTTCTTAATCTTTACTTTTTGACGACACTGAAACTGGGAATTCTAGTTTTTACACTAAAGAAAAAAAAGCAGAATGTTTTCTTTTACCTGATGTCTCTATGTAGTAATGGGTGATTGCTTTCCAGTGGTAAACAAAATCTTCTTGTAACGGAAGGGAAGGTGCGAGCTATGCAGAAAAAAACCAACAAACAAAAACCAGTTAGGAATGAAATAAACATATTTCCTCAGAGGTTAAATTGAATTTTATCTTATACTTGGAAGTAAACTGCTGCAGACTAGTGCTACAATTCTTACTCTCTGTGCTCTTTTACCTTTAACAAGGACTACATACATGATTCACGGCATGAACCCCATGTCAAACTGCCTAGCTTGTGAACATCAGTGATAATCTCTGTGATGTCTCTGTGACCAGACAATCTATTTGAAGCAACAAAAGCAACTGTTCATGCAGCAAAGCAACATCAGAAATGTAGGTTTGAATTGTTTAGATCTCAGTTTTGTCCTGTAGGAAAAAATCATGTTCTTTTACATCTGCTCTTGACCCCATCTTCCCTTTCTGTACACTCTGTTCTCTTTTCTCCCTCTGCTCCCTTAAAAATACCAATTAGCTGCTTCATACAGTTTTTGCCGTGCCTTTTTTCCCTGTTAACCACAACTATTAAAAGATCTTTGTTTCTTTTTTTTTTTTTTTCGCATATCAGGCCCATCCCCAGAGCATGACAGGTTGCTTTTTTTTTTTAACAAATACATTTCTTATTTCATTTCTGGATGAAAAGGAAGTTTCTTCTTTTCTGGAGGAACTTGGGATGGCCAGTTGGGCATGTCTGGCATCTAGGAATAACATGCTGCAAGAACAAAACACAGCCTTCCACCCATGCAACCTCAGTATTGCTCCTTCCTCACCAAGCTTGAACCTGTGCCAGGGTTCAGTCACCCTCACAGTGAAAATGTTTTCCCCCCAGAAGCTACAGATACCACATTTGAGATTAGTAACTCTGAATTCCTCTAGTGTCTCCTTGTAGGGCCTGAAAAGTGCTGAGTTGCCTCAGTTCCTGGACAAACAGAAGCACAGGGCTCAGATAACTGCATACCCTTCACTGGGTAGTGTTGGTCTCTTTGAAAAAGCCTTGGAAGTTTTCTATATCGGTCTCTTCTCTTTGTGGCGAGAACAACACTTAGATTTGTCTTGGTAAAGACGTAAAGCCCAGTATATGAACAGCATGCTCTGCCATGATAAGGAAGTGGAATGCTAATTGCACACAGGACTTTGAAATGCAAGACCTAAAAGAAGTAGTAGTGCTTGGTAACTATCTACACCTGCATCCTGCATGTGTGGAAATGTGCCCTCACAAATGGCTACTAGGAAATCAAACTGACGTTGCTCATCCGTTCCCTGAGAGTCTGTGGACTCATTAAGTCTTCTATATTTCCATGCTCGGCACTGAGAGTAGCACTTTAGCACACCAGCTACCACAGAACAAATATCAGGACACTGCATGCTGCACAAAACTAGTTTATTTTACTATAAAGTTTACGAGGTTATTGAAATTCAGAAGAGTAACTGAACAAACTGAAGACTGAGCATATGATATTTTGTATCATGCTTCGTATGTCACACTTGCTGCTGTAGATGTGTATTTCAAGCAACGTAAAGGTAATTCTGCATCTTCCCGTAATAAAACTATACCGAAAACTCAACTCTGGCTGATGAATAGCACAGAGACCACTTTTGAGGAATGCCAGGCCTTTCAGACCACTCTATTTCCAAAGTAACACATGATAGATAACATTAAAGATTTATCCTTGACTGATGTGATTTTCCTCTCCGCTTCTTCTAGCCTCATCTGCCTCGAGATGAATTTAGTGCCTCTGAGCAGTGCCAGGAAAAGGATTCCACTTCTCAGCACTGTCAATAATTTATCCACCGTGGGAGAGAACTGTAGATACAGACATTCTCCCTCCCAACACACGCCTCCAGGGACTCCTCTCAGAGGTGAAAAGGTAATTCAGGGACAGGTCTTACCCTTTTTAATTAAACTACTCAGTGATTTCACAGAGTCTTCTCTGATTGAGGACTCCAATACAGAGGTACCAAACAGAGATACCATTAGCACGTGTGTGCACCTGCGCATGTGCACATGCATGCTTATTGGGAATATACAATCAACCTTGCCACCAACTGGACCTGGTGATACGGAGCTGGGGGAGCTTCGCCTGCATTGGGCTACCAGACTTAGCCACTCCCAACAATACAGAAAAACTGTACGTCCTTACTTGTTGAGCTAAAGTATCCCCACCCCCAAATACTCCCACCCCCAAATTCCTCTTCCCACCATAGACAGACCTAGTATAAATCTGCTTTTTACAGCACAGCTATTCCAGGGAATATTTAACAGAGAAGTAGCTCCAGTAATGCTATGTACTATTCTGAGAGAAGTGTTTTGCTGACAAAAAATGAAAAAAAAAACCAACTCTCTTAACTTAGTTATTGAGACACAAAATCAAGGTAAAGCCCAAGACCAAGACACCAGCTTATACACAAAGAAAGCCCAGCACTGGAAAGCATTAGAAAAATGTAAGCTCCCAAACACTTGGCTGGCATGCTTTAACCCTACTAGGACAGGTAATTCTAGGATGAAACTGTAGTTTCTATTTTAGGATGAATTATCAGCTACCAGCTGAGATGAAATACATGTTGCAGTTGCTCATCTGAATAATCACTCTTTTGTAAAAGTACACATACTTGTATAAAGATTCTGAAGCAAAACAAAATTCATTGTGAAGGCTATTAATTCCTCCCATTTGTCTAATTTGAAGGAATTACCTTAAAGAACAGTTATTTCTCACAGTTATATTAATTCATTTTGATGTAATTACAAATGTTCTTACTAATTTTGAGCTATCGATTCCTAATCTCAAAGTGAAGTTCTCCTTCTTTGGGGGAAAAAACCCAGCGTCTTAAAGACTGCAGTGTAGGTGTTGGTATATCAAATAGCCAAAACTCACTGAACACTACTAAAAACCAGCAGCCATTTGAGCAGACATTGATTAGCTCTTCCATCTGGTCCCCAACTCCAGCAGTCAAGCTTCCTGGAAGTGAGCGAGTCAGTGTTCTCATTTACAAGCTAAACTTAACACGTGCTGCCTTATAATTCTGGTGATGATTCGTTACTAATGATTGAACCCCACTCCTTCCAGGAAAAGTGCTGTTCTCAGGAGAACTATAGGTCTTTGACCAGAACTATAGTCTGCTCGTTATAAAATCTGTCCAAAATACAATTCCACGTAGTTTTCAAAAGTATATAGAATTTGTGTTTAGGCAGGAAAATACCCCAAAATATCAAGAGCAAAGAAACCTATCAATATTCAGAATTTAACAGCAATTCCTTTATGCATGTGAAAATCATTGTCATATTTTTCTTGTATGCTTTTCAGAAGTGCAATTCAATACTGAAAAGAATGGAAACAACAGAAGCTGGTGATATCGCTCAATATCTTTCAGACAAGTTCACAAAGTAAAGAAAACACTGTATAAGAGAATAACAGGTACTGTCTGGTCAGATGCCAGAGTAAAAAAGCAAGCAGAAACTGGGTCAAAGAGAAACAAAGGGGAAGTACATGCACACTCCCCTGACTGAAACAAGGAAAACTACAGCAGTCACTCAATGTTTTTCTTCGCTCTTACTACTTCACTAACGTGAATGCTTGCCCTGAGGGAAAATCTGAAAAAGGACTAATGCTTGAGGTTTATTTTATTTCTTCAGTTGATGAATGCACAGAGTTTATAACAGTCACTGCTTTCACATATAAAATTAAGACTGCATATGCTTGCAAGCCATGCATTAAATTTTGTCATCATGATTTGTTAATAGCAGCACAACATTAAAACAATCAGTAATATGAGGTCATTACATCAAATCAAGTGGGTTCAAGAAGAATAAATCTTGTTCTGAGTAGTTATGCAGTTAATGATTTTGGAGCAGTACCTGTAGCAAGTGACTCAGTTTCTTTCAAAGCTCAGTTTCACCTCAAAAACATGAACAGAAAAGGAGCTACTTAAAAGCATGTTAAGGTACCAGTGTAAGAGATACAGTGGAATAATAGGTTGGCAGAGAGGGGTCCCAAAATTGTGCAGCAGACACCAAAATCTAAATTCACTCCCAGATACCGAGAGAGATACAAATAATCTTGTTTGACAGCAAATTGCAAAATTCAAAACAACCAAAATCGTATTTTTCCTGCTTACAGTACACAGCTCAAAAACATCCTTTTGAGTTGACTGTTAAGATGAAACATCTCCTGAAAGCCCAAATCAACCACAAACAAAAGTCCTTTGAACACTGAGTGACCACTTCACAGACCAGCTATTTTGTCTAGGGAAATGTGAGTGAAGAGCACAAGATAAGAGAAAAAAAAAAGTCTAACTTGCTGCTTTGTTATTGTACACAACATTTTGTATGTTGCTGAGAATGCAGCACTCCTGGTATACACTTGGGATAAACGTATGCATAGCAAAGAGAAAACACCTTGGGGACAAACCATATATAAGCTGTCACAGATTCATTAATATTAACCCCATAAAGCAACAACACTTCTATTCTGCCCTGAGGTAAGGTAACAGAACAAAGACTGCAGTCCCCTCCATCATTCTCACCAACCCACCCAACCCAATTTAAGGATGCTCTGTCGGGACGATACCACAGTGGTGCTTGCTCATCTGGATGCTGCAGAGAAATCCAGAAAGCAAAAATATCTAACATACTGGCAGGACTGACATATGATAAGAGATGGCAAAAATTAGGATTCAGTTGTAATGAAAATCAGGAATATGATTTCACACACTTGGACAATTCAGGCAGAAGAGATTGAAAGTTTTGAGTTATTCAAGGTAAGAAAAGGTCTTAATAAAAAGCAGCTGGTCCCTTATGTTTGCCTCATCACGGTTGTGTCATGAAGGCAGGCAATTAAAGAGCGGTACACTCAAACAAGTGAAAGGCAAACACTCCTATGTGGATTAGACTGTCAACCTTTGGAACTCCTCGTCATAGTTCAGAGAGATGGCATATTGAGGGTAAGATAACAACGATTACCTAATAATATGGGAACTCTTACTATTTAAATGCATATCTCTAAAGTCGGCAGGCCTGCAGGCCCTGAGGCAGGACAGGAGCATTATATAAGTGATGTACAGGAGAAATGACAGGGGAGAAGGGCTACCCAAACATTTCTGATTTAAAGTAGTCCTACCAATGAAAGCTAAGCCTAAGCACTTCAAGTGTATTTGAGTGCCCAGCTCAGCTGAAAACTGTTCAGCTGCAACTGAATTCCTTCGGGAGGCAGGCACCCAAATGAGAATTTATATCTTAGTTACCAGTTCCGTTGCTGATATTCAGGGCTGAAACAGTCCACTTGAGGCTGCACAAGCTATACTTGCTCTGCAGCAATAACAGCAAGTAAAAATGATGTTCAGAATTCTCTAGGTTCTGAAAAAAGCAAGCAGCATCAGGGTGGACTTATATTTAGGATTTACACCAGTTTTCATTTTCAGGGTAGCAAAGCTAAGCAGCCCACATACTTTAATAAAAGAGAGAATGAAACAATGACTTAAAGTCACATATAGCCCCAAAACTGGTTAAAAGTTTCTATTTCTCAGTTCTGTCTTTGAATTAGGGGGTCAAACTTCCTAGATAGAGTAAGAAACATTCTTAATATCCCCTTGCTTTTGTGATTCTGCGTTTCATTCCTAGCATGTGGTGCTCGGTATTTGTCACAACCCTGTAAATGCAATTTAGTGCAGTATTTATTATCAGGAGATCCATCACAGTGGTGTTAGCAGGATGAGGCAATTCTAAAAGGGACACCAGAGCTGAGCAAGGGCATATAGCATGTTGTTTGATAGCAGTCACTTGCAAAATGATGTTATCAATCTGTTTCCGGTTTGGTTTGTTGTTTTTTTTTAAATTAAAAAAGATCGTCTAGTCCCTACTATCTCTACTTTTCCCCTTTTCCATTCAACTCTGTCATTCTTCCTAGTTTTTTATGGATCTCAAATAAATGCAGTTCTTTATTTTTTGTACACAGCAGTAATGTAAATGTTCTTCTAGGAATAACTTTTATTAGCTATCTTGAATCAGTAGACCTGAAAGGAGAACTTCTCCTCCACTCCTGCATCTCTCAGTCATCCACTCTTATTCAAAATGTGGCACAGCTTACCACAACAAGATTTCTTTAGTCAGGCAGCCACTAATTTCTGTTTATCCTCCAATGAAAGCACTGTCTATTGAAGGCATTCATATGTGGTCATAGAGAGTTTTCAATTAAGCCGTTTCATCATTATTTAAAACATTTCTTTTCAATTGCCACTCTACGAGTAAAAGAGCAAAATAGGTACCTGCAATTATTTAATACATGTTTAACTTTAAAACCCCAATAGTCCTGCTAAAGATTGCAGAACTACAGGCACACATAAAGGCAAGCATATGCTTAATGCTTAAGTATTTGCAGCATCAAGGTACACATTAATGCACAAAGGGTGCCCCTCACAGGAGGTAGGATTTAGCGTGCAGGCTCTTTTTTCAACCATTTGAACCGTTTCCTTCAACACTTTCTGCCTTCACTTCCAGCGGTATTTCACTGCCAGTTTTTAGCACCTAACCAAAGCTGCACCTCTTCCAACTCGGCCTCGTCGGTGTCTTGGCTGACTGAGAAAGGTGCTGAAAGCCAGAGACATTACTACCAGGACCCCACCTCACCGAAAAGCAAACAAAAAGAAACCGGGTAGACAGTCGAGTCCTGATAAGCAGGCAGCTGGACGCGGCCTACAGAAATGGCAGCTTCGGAAACGGGCCCTGCTGCTTCCCTCTCCCCAGCCCGGCGATGGGCACCGATGTGCGACTCTCCGCGGCGAAACCCAACCGAACACACACAGCCCCGGGTCCCCCCGGCCTCCCCCTCCACCCTACCCAGTTAAAACAGAAACCGGGGACGGAAACGGCGGGTTGGAGGTGACAACATTCACACAAAAGCGCCGGAGACAGCGACTGTTGTCCGCTGGCCACGACCAGAAGAAAAATCCTGAGGACTTTTTCCTGAATTCACCTCCGTTCTCATCTGTTTCGCGGAGAGCAGCCGGGCCGGGCCGGGCCGGACCGGGCCGGGCAAGGGCCGCCCTCACGCCCGGCGCCGGGGCCCACCGGGAAGACACGTTACCGGCGGTGACAGCCCGCGGGCTGCTCCCGCTGGCCGAGGGGGCCGTGCTGGGCCCGCCGCGGAGCCCCGGGCACCAGCCGCTCCCTCCTCTCCCGCCATCTCCGGCTCTCGACAGCCCTCGGCCTCCGCCTCCCTTCCCCGCGGCAGGGGCGAGCCGGGATCGGCGG